TCTATATATTATTGAATTTTGATAAAAATTAATTAAAAAATAAAAAAGTTTTATTAGTAACATATTTTAATTTACTAAATAAAAATCTATTATACCATCTAGGTCATATGAAAAATGATTTACGTACACCCTTTCCTTAAACAATGTTAATATAGAACAAGAAAATGTATATAGTAAGTTGTTCTTATAAATAAAGATCATAATAACCCTAAGAAAAAGAGACCCATCTTTGATTTTATTAAAATAATAACTAGCCTCTTATATAATAATAAATATATAAACTTTCTCTTGCTATATTAACTAATCACTAAATTACAGATTATAAAAATCTGCTTTTTGAAGTTATTTGTTCTAATTAAAAAGTATTGTTATATCTTTATCTAGCTGTTATATTCCAAAGTATCAGAATTAGCCATAATCATTCAAGTTTAACTATCTGAAGAAGTGTGATAGTTGAGATTATATATATTGTTCAATTACCTAAAATAATAAAGTAATTGAAAATTAAGCTTAGTAAATAGCTCAAAAAAAGAAAACTACAGTACAAGTAAAGATAAATACTTATCTATGAACTCAAACTACTGACCAAATCTAAATGCCTCTTTTCAACTAAGCCAACTGTAGGTTATACAAGAATTTGAATTGTAAAGTAACTGACTCATCATTTTGTCTAATTTTAATAGAAAAAAGTTTTATTAAATATTATAAATAGATTAATAAAAAGTGTAATTTTATTTTTTTTAATATACTTATTGCTAATTATTTTTTTGACTTTGATTCTATCAACTTCATATATTTATTACATGTAATAACTATAGAAAAAAAGAGTTGTCAGATCTAAATTTAATTTTGTTTTAAATAATTATTACAATTTGACCAATTAGATCATTTTATTTACCTATTTGGTTAATAATTTGAATCTGAATAAATTTAAGTTTGATTAGTAAATTTAGATCATTATAAAATATTTTAAAAATTAAACAAATAAGTATCAAAAATAAATACAATAAAGTTTATATTTACTAACAAAATAATTTAATTATAGTATATATTGCATATTATAATAAATAGATAAAATTCAAAAAATTTAAAATATAAATTTCTTGATATTATAATATTCCATATTCAGTTGAGTCATAAACTTTATCATCACTTACTATATTATTATTAAACAAATTTTAATAAATTTTACACTAATTTAAACATATTTTTAATAATTCTAACAATAATAACTATAATTACTGTATTAGTTAAATAAGATAAACTGTCAATAAAATAATTTATCTTTGAAATGAACTTGTTTTAATTAATTGTTTGCAAAACAAATTTATTACAAACTAAATAACAACACTGAACCTAAAAATGTTTGCAAACTTTCAAATCAAATTCAGACTAAATTTAAACTAGTTCTAAAAGTTCATTATCAGACCTGAACCAAACTGAGTTTAAAAATAATTTGAGTTTGAGTTTAATTTGTAATATTTCAAAATTTAGATCTTTTAAAATTCTAACTTTTTAGAATTTTAATCTCAGTATTGTGATCCTTTCAGGATTGTGACCTATTCAGAATTGTGATTCTTTTAGAATTGTAATCCTTTTAGAATTGCAACTTATTCAGAATTGTAACTCTTTTAAGATTGTAACTCTTTCAGGATTGTAACTCTTTCAAGATTGTGACCCTTTCAGGATTGTGACCCTTTCAGGATTGTGACTCTTTCAGGATTGTAATTCTTTCAAAATTGTGTCTTTTCAAGACTGTGACCCTTTTAGAATTGTAATTCTTTCAGAATTTTAATTCTTTAAAATTGTAATCTTTTAGAATAATGATCTTATAGCAATTTTTTTTTTTAGAATTTAAATTTTTAAGATATTATACTTTTAGAATTTTGTTTTTTAAGGATTTAGTGTATTAGGATTTAGTGTATCAGGATTTAGTATCTTCAAGATTTTGATCTTCAGAATATTGACATAAACCCATCTAACCCAGAATGCTAAATATACAATTTTGTTAGCTTTTAAAAAAATATTTTAAACTAACTTAAACTAACAATTACCTCAAGCAAACTTTTAATTTGTTAATATTTTTTTCTATTTTCTCTTTGCTACAGTCAAAAGAAATTTCTCTCTTTATATCAGTGTTGTCACTAAAAGACTGAAACCTCACTGAATGTTTAGATTCTTTCAGAGTTTCAGCAATTTCATTGAGAATCCTACTAGAACGAATTTGCCTGATTGGCTAATTGCTGATTATTTATTTGAATCCAGAACGCAACAGCAAAAAATTATTGAACATAATAGTAACAAATGGTTCAATAGTATTTGCGCCATTGCATAAATTGAATATTTTAAATATTTAGAAAACCCATAATAATGCTTTTTGACTGTAATAAATATCATGTTTTCGAAATAAATAAAATTAATTTATTACTTATCGGTTATTATTTTGTTAGTCTAAATGTTTTTTGTTTGTATTTTTTTTTGTTAAGTTATATGAATTTTAGTGCTCGATATATTTGTCAAATGGTGTTCGAAAGTTTTTTGGGTGGTGATTTTACCCTGATCATATAAAATTAGCCCAGTTCACTTAATGGGCAGCTGTGCCAGGACAAGTTGTTGCGGCAGTTAGGTTAATCTTGAATTTTATGCTAGATCTGCGTCCAATTTTTACACTCGAATTGGCAATTATAAGTCACTGAAAGTCACTGAACATCACTGGAACTTCCATTCCAGTGATAAAAATTCTTTACTGGAACAGTCCAGTGACATTCGATCTCTGGAACCTATTATGCTTCCAATTCCATCTAGTTAAGTCCAGAGACCATCCAGTTTCAGTAATTTCCAATGGAACATTCCAATAGACGACACTGCTCTATATTAAATATATTTAACGACTTCAAACCTCAAATACTAAAATAACCGCTTTCGAACTATAGTAAAAAAAAACAAATACCAGTATAATAAGTAAACCTCAAATTTATTAGGTTTGACTGAATAGTCACGCACAGTTAGAGAGGAGCAAAAGCCTTTATAGGGCCAGCATTTTCCAACCTTTAGCTAAAATATACCAAAACTCATATTTGCATTTACAAAATTCGGATTATAATAAATTATAAATTATAATTTACACTTACTTGGAACAATACATCTGAAACTTTTCTTCGTCTGTTTCCTTATATTTTTAATAGAGTCGATTCTACTGGAAATTATTTCTTTTACATAGTCAAAAAGAGGTAAACCATCATTCTCTATTGTCAGATAAACTGCGGACGCACCACAAATAGCTTCTGGAATTTCTTGGATTAAAAAACTTCAGGTTTTGCAACTAAATTTGTCATGTTGATAGAGATACATAAAATTTGTAGAAGATAGAATCATTATATCAAGATCATGGGAGGATTAATAATACCTGATCCGTGATCGACAATATTTTAAAGTCATAAAACGGTACATTAGGGTCAGGTTTATAATTATAATGATACTTGTCTTATACTAAAATTTTGCAAGGAATTTTTTTTTTACTAACGCGCAGAAGATGGTTACGGCGGTTTTTTTAAAAAAATGTTAGCGATTTCATGTTACACCTTATCTTGTAATCTAATTGGTCAATCGCTGAAACTTCGTTTCCGCCAATTCAGGATATTATTACTACAAATCGCTAAAGAAAACTTTCTGTTAGTAACAAAAGTTGGTTTCTTATGCAAACTTTTGACAAGAGAGACGTTTGTTTTGAATTTTTCTACGTTACACTAAATAATAATCTTTTATTGGTCAACAATAATTATGTAACTAAATACCATCCCGAAATTAATTTCTATTGTGTCGCATTATTGGTTAATCTTTTACAACGTAAAAAGACTATCCACTCGACGAGTCGTATTCCTCTTCGAGGCATGAAAATATGTTATTAGATGTCATAAAGAAATCTCTTCGCACCATTTATTTTGCGCTCTTAAACTGTCCAAAATTACAATTGAAATGACACTGTTATTTGCACTATCAAAAGAAGAGAACGCTGAAGATTTTTAACTAGACAATTTTGTCAGGTAATCGAGGATGAATTAGGATAATGTTTATGCGTCATACCGAACAAAGGAAACTCAATAATAGGTAACCCGACTTCATATTTATAATGTCTTCAAACCGTGTTGAACCGTTTTTTACTTCTTGTATTTTGTCAGATATTCAGAAGCATATAAAGATTTCGAAGTTAATGTTCTTTACGAATTTGAAGAATTGGTCCAAGTCACGAGTTCGTAATGGATTTAAGTGGACGAAACAAAACTTTGAACGTGTAGATCTAACTCAGCTGATAGGATGGGTAATTCTTCAAATGGTGCCATAATTAGAACGCCTTTTTTGAAATACTTTTCGACCCATTTTTACTAATAGGCTTGAATAAAGACGATGGGTCTTTCAAATTAACACAACGTTATTTGCTGGGTGTACTTATCCTCACGCTACGTGAGAGAGCTGAAGTAAGAAATTGTGCATGGACATCACCGGAGGGAATGACTAATACTCTTGAGATGGATGAATTTCAGAGTTGTAATTACTTTACTACGTCAATTGAGGCTATTTTTGCAAAAGCTTAAGGATTTCAACAAATTTCCTCGTAAAGATACGATACAATTTATACCCACAAAAGATTTAGTCAATGCTCGGAAAGGAATTAAACTAATATATCTGTCGTTGATTAAAATCTAATTATAGAAAACTTCTTTGGACGTTTTATAAATGATTTAAATGTAATTAAAATACTCTGCGACAATCTACAATCACTTTCCAATATTGAAGAACTTGTTTTCATTGAAATTCTTGTTTACAGCATATTATTTCATCAGGTCAAGCTCAATACTTTCTATACAACTTTATGAAATTTTCAACATATTATTGAACCATCGGAACAGCTATCAACTTCTGTGAAAACCATAGCATCGCCAATTTTAACGCTTGCGAAAACCATAGCGTCGCAAATTTTAACTGGAAGTCAGAATGTCATTGAAGACATTCATATTAAATTCTATTCGTCTACATATGATATTAATTCAACACTCAGCGTTGAAATTCGTCAAATTCGAGACATTTTGTGGATCATCGTACTTATCAGGACATTTCAAAACCTTATTTCCTCTGAAGAATACTGAGGAAACGAACGTGTTATTGTTAAAATATATTCATAAAATTATACTTATGGACACGATAGAGAAGAACAGCATTGTTCATTGACTTGTTTCAATGATCATTAAATAAATTGCAAGAACAAATAGATTTTTAAAGAATTTGGTAACGAAGCTTCGAAAGTATTTTGCCAATTGAAAAGGTTACCTCTTCAATTGTCCATCTCCTCTTTTCAACAAACGGAGAATTCATGATTGGCATTATAACACTTTTGAATAAATTGTATCTAATCGACACTTATCAAAATGGATTCAACAATGCACAGCACCCGTTATAGAAGAGATATTAGGTGTCCTTGATACACTCGTCGAATGAACTGAAATCGGGTGTGATACTTCAAATTGGCTAAAAATATGCAACTATTTTATTTCCTGACCTTATATTTGGTGATTTTATTACGTGAACTTAGCAACTAAAGTGTTACAGCCACATTTAGACCACTGAAAAGAGGGGTTATTGACGTTTATGATGGTACTATTTTAGTCCCGCGGGCTCAATTCTTTAAGATGTAGATTATTATGTATAACGTTGCTGTAAGTTTTTAATTATATATTTTCTCCTATTTGCAATTTGTTAAACTTTATTTATTTATTTATTTATTTAGTGGCCTGAAGATAATTTGTTAGTGGACAAAGGTGTATATATCGCATCCGAAGTTTCAATTTATCTTAAGTAGCGTCCTAGCTAAAATTTAACCTAATGCATGCATGAAGATCTAATTTCAGGGCTTAATTTTAACCAGGCGCTACTTTAGATGCAACATATAGAAAGTACTTTTTTCCTTTCTTGGCCAATTTCAAGTTTCTATATTGCAACTCAAACATAATGATCTTTTAATTATAAAGTGTTATTTGGTTGTATTGTATCAAGAAGGTTACAGTTTTATAATAATATGTATAAGTAAATGTTTATATAAGTTGTTAATAAAAATAATTTTTTATTTATTTTTTCTTTGCATTCAGAAGGTTTTTAAACATCTTAGAGGTTTTTTTATTTTCTAAAGTTAGTGTTATTATTATTGTAAAGATCTATTAAATAGTGAAATAGTTTTTGTATATAATCACACTAGTAAGATAGCTTATGTTTTATTAAGTCTATTATATAACATTTTAGTTTTTGATTTTATAGTGTAAGACTTATGTTATCTAAATTTACAGTTTTTTAATTTTATTTAACTCATTAGTTGAACTATTTATTTTAAACTAAGTTTACTAAATTTTAGTATCTTTTGTTAATGGATTATATTTTTTTTAGTTATCTTTGATTATATAATTATGTTAACAGATTATATACATATAAATTCTATTCTTGTTTAATTTTAGTTATATATATTTTTATAGATTATTCAATTATGATCTTATTTGAGTTTTGTTTTCTAGTTGAATTTGAATCTGTAATTTTGTAACTTCAATTTTGAAGTACTAATCACTATACTATTAACTTAGAGGTTTATATAGTTTATTTTTAAATAGTATAAATTAATTAATTAATAATCTGCCAATTATCTGAAGAAAGATCTTAGTGTAATGTGATGCAGATCACTATGTATTTTACTATAAGCTGAAATGTAGCATGCACCTATCTAAAACTTTTTTAGTACTAAGTTAAAAGTTCAGGTTGATTAATTAAAAGTTGTAGAGCTTACTAAGATGTATTTAATGATGATTAGATCATTTAAATCAGTTTAGTAGATGCTAAGATATTGTCAAAAAATAATTAGTTGACTATGTAAAATTTTATTTAAACAAACTATTATTTATATAGAAATTTTACATAGTTAGTCAATCTTTTTGTAACAATATCTCAGCATTTACTAAATTGATTTAAATAATCTAACTATCATTAGATATGTTTTAGTAAACTTTACAACTTTTAATTAATTGATTGTTAATTTAGTACTAAAAAAAGTTTTAGATAGATGCATATTGCATTTTAGCCTATAGTAAAACATATAGTGATCTGCATCATATTATACTAAGATCTTTCTTCAAATAATTGATAGATCATTAATTAAGTAATAATTTATAAATAATAATAAATTTATAATTTTTAAAAATATATAGTAACTTAGTAAAGTGAATAAATTGCCAATTCCTTAAATAATAGATTGGATATTCAAAACCTATTTATAGTAAAAATTTAGATAATTATTTTTATAATATTTATATTATAATAACTATTTCTAATAATTGAGTTAGGATACCTATAATTGCAATTATATCAGCATAACTAGCAAGTTATAAAACATCTGTATAACTAATTATGCAAAAGAATGCAAACTGGCATCAGATAATACAAACTTTAGATAAGTTTTTATAGTTATATAAATTTATAAAATTGAAAAACAAAAAGTTTATTTAAAAAAACCTAATCAAAAAAGTTAATTTTATAAAATAAATACCAATATAAAGAACTAGATAGACAAAAATCTTTAAATAGGAATTATTACCAACCAGGTTATTAAAATTAAACTAAAGAAAAAAAATGTCAAACTGATTTAATATATTAATAGACTGGTCATAGTCCTACTAAACTATTTGAATTAAAAGTCTAGAAACAATACAAGAATATACTAAAGTATTTTAGATATATTATAAAGTAATACTAAAGTTTGAATAAACTCTATAAAGGCATAGTAATTCAATAGCTAGCTCTAACTGCAAGTATTGGTTTTATTATAACAATACTGGATCAGCTATAAAAATAAATACAGAAAGTTTTGAGAGATTTATCTTAAAAATAAAATAATTCTAAGTTTAAGACAATAATTTGAACATGATTTAATTAAGTTAATATAAATTACAAATTCAAAAGATTTAAAATAAAACACTCAAGCAGAAATATTAGATATAGCAATTAGTAAAAAAACTTTTTTAAATAGATAATATAGAAAAATTATATATATAGCCAATTGTAACTCTTTTTGTAATAATTTTTTATAAAATACATTATTAAAAAGTATTAATAAAAAACAAAAAATTAATAAAA